TGCACGCTTCACACCAGGTGGCAAATACTTAAGTTTGTGTGCTAGGAAGCCTTCAGTGTGAGCGAGGCGTGGAGTACCAGCATGCTGCAACAGTGGGTTTATGATGGGCCGCTGAATACCTGGGACATCTTTTGCAAACTTTCCTAATAACTGTATTGCAGCATCAAATACAAAGTCACGGAAAGTGGGCTTACGTCCAGTTCTCACAAGGTACATGTTGAAACAGTTCAGCATGCTCATGTCCACAAGATGGAAGAACACTTTTTTCGTCCACCTACATGTCTTCCGCACACACTCTGCAGTGCCAATCATCATGTCTGATTTATCAATCAACCGCATGTTGATATTATAGTCTAAAACACAGTCTGGCTTATATAGTGGTGCGTTTGTTTTATGGCTCACTTTCCCACTGTTCACCATTGTTCCATCATGAATTGTTGTCAACAAGTTCACCTCTCTTTTGTCTTTCCACCGAACTGACAGAATGTTATCACTTTTCCTTCTCTGACACTCACCAACTGCAATGTCGTTGTCAAACACAGGCATTTCCCTTCGTTGTGGCTTTACTGTACCAACCAATCCGGTTCTATTTTCTAGCAAGAACCGAGCTAGCAAGGGACTTGTATAGTAATTATCTGTGTATAAAATGTGTCCCTTGTTCATCCACGGAGCCATGATGGTCTTCACTACACTCCCCGAGAATCCATGTTCGTCGTTACCGGGAATGTCTACATCACTAGCCGAGTACAGAATCATGTGTAACACGTATCCTGTCTCACAATCACAAAGAACAAAAAATTTCAGGCCAAATCGGTTTCGTTTTGAGGGAATGTACTGTTTGAATGGAACACGTCCCTTGAAAAGTATGAGAGATTCATCAACCACCAGCTTCTGTGCTGGTACGTAAAAATCTCTGAATTTTCCAATAACATCGTTCATGTAGTGCCTCACTCGCCACAGTCTATCATCAGGTGTTCGGTCCTGAACACTTCCAAAATGTAGACACCTGAGGAGTATCTGAAACCTGTCTCGTGACATATATTTCCCGAATAAAGGTGTTGGTATTGTCTTGTCCTTGCTCCAATAGTCATTTATTGCATGTTTGTGACAGTGCTTCATCAACAAACAGAGTGCCAAAAACACATACATTTCCGCCACTGTGGTATTTTTCCAACGCTGCAGTCGTGAAAATTCTGTGATTTCCCTCTCAATCAGGTAAGCAGCATGCAGGTTCGTTTGGTGTACAATGTATTCCATGAGTGGTTCATCATAGAATGCTGTAAAATATTCCATCTCAGCCATGTCCTCACCTTGATTAGGGAAAAGGTTTGTAATCCCTACATCTTTATCGTCAAAGTGAGGAATATTAGGAATAAAATCGTCACCATCACTCCACTCAAGTACACCAGGCGTCCTGCGAGATGCAGAGGAAAGACGGCGAGGAAGCGATGCATACCGGCGACCAGGAGCTGAATACCGTCTGCGAGAAGCACGGCGGCTACGTGCACGTGAGGTGGGTGCACGTGAACACGAGGGTCTTGGTCCCTCATGTGGTGCCATGCGGTGGCGCTTGGCTGGGCGAGATGCTGCTGACGCGACAATTTCTCGCCCAGTTACACCACTGGTACCAGCCACAGGCTCAATAAAACTTTGATCTGAGTCACTAAACCCAGAAAAGGAGTCACCTCCCTCTGACTCGTCACCCTCAAACAGAAAATATCCACAGGAACTGTGAGGTCGTGGTAGAATTGGGGTAGAAAATGGGCGAGGAGGCATGGGAGAGCGTATAGGCCTCGCCATGGCATGGCGGTCATTCTCACTTTCACTGCTGCTGCTACTATCTCCCGACAACTGTGTATAATCCTCATCGTTGTCTGAATCGTCAAACACACTTTCTTCACCTTCAGAGAATAATTCGTGGGCTATTTGCTCTGGGGTGAGGGACTGAGTGGTGCGTGCCCGTGAGGCGTTTGACCGTGCGCTCGCCATGGTGACTCTCGCTAAACTGAGGCCTCCCATGCCATCGGAGCGTGAGCTGGATTTTTTTTCAAAATGGCCGCTGTTTACTAGAGCCCCTGGGCAGCGTATGGGACCCCCAGCTACACCGCGGGCCATTCAAATCGTGCGCGGTACCCATACACTTCATATGAAGTGAAGCGCAGTTGACTGGTAAAACGATTTACACTTCATATGAAGTGATGCGCACTTTAAGGGTTAAACATCCCAAAAAAAGCAAAGAGATGGCAACAGCAGAATAACACCCTTGAAGGAGGTGAAAAACTCACACTCTAGATAGCACAAGCGTTTTGAAAAGTATCATCATCGGTATAGCATCTCTAGTGTGAAAAGTTCTTGTTATCCAACCTGTCATTTTTCTTGCCAAAACAAAGGCTCGCACACCCAGGCACAGGTAAACAAACCGCAGCGCCGCCGGTGGCCAAGCGGGGAAGCAACCCGCAGAAAGAAAATGAGCACCAGAACATGGAGCCCTGACCGACACAATAGATCCGAAAACACGCCAGCAAATGTGGGAAGAAAGCAGACGAGAGGCACGAAAAACCCTGCCCAGAAGCAGAAAACCCAGGCAGGAGCAAACAGTCCCAGAACTGCTAGCAGGCATCCCCCACAGCCCCGGGAACCTGCAACAGAAGGGCCCCAGGGCAAAGCTATGCTCCACGCCCTCTGCCCTTAATAAGAAGAGTCCAGAGGAAAGGCAGCAAAGAAAGGACCACTGGTAAGACCCAGAAGACTCTGCAGGAGGATCAGGCTCGAAAACCTCCATCCCCAACCTGAACGGGGCAGCCCCCGAAGTCGCCCGAGTCTCGGAACCAACTAAACCCTACCCAGACCCCAAAACCCCAAATGCCGCCTGTATTCCGAACAGTAAGGACATCAGAATAGTACTGGAGAACAAGCAGTGAACACATCTCGCAAGACTCTGGGTCAAGGTGACAGTGACTCAACAGGCAGCATGACGGAGGTAAAAGTGCCGACTGTCACCCTGAGACAAGGGCACAGCAACCAACGAACCCGTACAAGACGGGATGGTACCCGGAAGACACATCCAGTGGCCCACCGAACCCCGACAGGGTTTTCCAGGGCCCATAGGCTGACTGCTACCGGAAGCCCGGGCAAGGTGTTGCTAACCGGTTAAACACCCAAGCTAATATGGGGTAAATGCAACGCTGAAAACCCCTGTGACGTGTACAATCATGGGGGGGGGGCCTAGCAGAGGGCCACCAAACACTACCAGTGGAACTATAGCCACACCAGGCAGACCCCCACCAGGCAAAGAAAATAAAAACAAAAGATAATCCCAGCAAAAGTACATCGTTTCCAGAGGCAACAGGAACCGGTCGCCGTGTAGGTGGCAGGCCATGCAACACCTTGACACCCTAACCAGCACATTACCAGTCCTTACTCAAGGTCAAACAAGGGCCCCCAAGCCCCAGCTGGCCTCATGGGCGAGGCAAAAGCCGAGCAGCAAGAACCTCTACAGGAATGGTTCCCGAATGCCCCAGGGAAGATAACCCGGTCACGCAGGGGCAGTACTCACACAGGGCGCTTAGGGAAGGAAGCCCCTAAGCACATGCAACCCCGGCACTGGTGATGAACACCTGGCCACCGCACAACACAACACACAGCAGTGAACGTCACGAAGGCAAACACCGCCTAGGAAACTGAGGCCAGAGAGGTGTCTTTCCCGGTTGACATTAGCTTATGAACTGGTGCTAGGCAGCCAGTACGGTGAGGTCCAGGGCCCCCCCTACCCCTCTCGGGGCGGGGAGGGCTGCGCGGACAATCAGTGCGGCAGTAAATTGTGATGTTTGCTTGTTTCCTTGGGATTGTAGGGAGTTTCTACCTCTCTGTTCATTTTTTTTTTTTAGTTTCTTACCATGTGGGGTTTGTTTTGTTATGCCTACCATTCTGGGTGCCTAATCCCGGTCGATGGCAGATAAGGAAAACCCCCAACCACAAGGGGGTTTTCTAGGGCCATTGCTCCCTGAAACCCCTCTGAAGGGGACAGGTTCTGGCACTGGCCCCTGGTAGGTTTGAACTCCATAACTAATGTCCCGGTCTAATAAACGTACATTGGCCCGATAAGCTCCAAGGAACAGTAGGAGCTCTCCACAGAAAAGTTGGATTGAAATTGAACAACTTTTAATTTACTGTAATCCGGCCCCTTAATTTATACAAAAATGCAAGATCTTGCATGAGGGACATAATAACCCACATCACAACTACCAAATTAATAACATTACCTTGCAGCAGATTGATGAAGAAAATAACCTTGGAGTCAAAATCCACCATTCACTGAAAGTTACACAGCTATTAGGAGCAGCAGATACAAGCTAAACAAACCTAGGAATAATCAAACATACCTTAAACTTTAAGGAAAAAAAGGAAATTTTTCCAACCATAAAAATCTCTGGTGATTGGATTATTGTATCCAAGCATGGAAACCTCATCTTCAGAATAGTACAGCTGCTTTGGAGAACGTTTAACACCAGGCAACAAAAATCATTTCAGAATTCAGTCAACTCATTCCAGGAACAGTTGAAGGCCACAGGCTAACAACACTGAAAACCAGACATGACAGGGCTGATCTCATCAAAACTTGTAAAATAATTAACAATTTGGAGGATGTAGGTCCAGACATGTTGAGAAGGTCAGATGTAACACAAACAAGCAGCATCAGTTTCAAGCTCAATATGCCACAATACAGGACAGAAAACATGAGATGCCTTTTTCATCCTTAGGGGTATAAACCCATGGAACTGCCTACCCACCGAAAATGTAAACCCAAAACACAGCTGAATTTTAAAATCCAGCTCAATAAAATCAAGATAAATAGGGGAACCTCCGACAAGCCGCCAGCTTCCTGTCCTCGTTGTGGTCAACAGTGAGATAGTGGCCCTCAGGTAAACTCAGGTAAAAAATTCAGTGGTTAGTACAAAACTGAAAAAATAATTAAAATGAAACCAAAAAAGTAAGCTCACCTGTGTGGAAGTAGCATTTTGAGTACGAAGATGATTCAGAAGGGTGCTCACAGCTACATATGGGCGACAGAAGTGTGAGGTGCAGAAACATTTCTGAGGCAGAGAACTGTAACGAACACATTTGACACCTGCAATAGAAAGGAATCATGACAAAAGTGAATATGGAACTTCTGATAACATTTATTTGTATGGCATTGTTACTAGATTTTTAGCAAGAGATATACAGTACAGTACTTTGTACCAAACCTGATCTCCAGTATGTAGTAATTGACTTAGAATTGGTGTGATAGTTTGTCTAAAGTGAGATATTGTATAAAAAACAAGAGGTGTAAATATCTACACCTCTTGGAGGTTCATGGAGGCAGCAGTCAGCTGGTTTACTGGAGGTCTGCAATATCTCTCTGTCCTTAGTGGGCCAGCCAGAGGCTTAGGGCCCACACAGGAATATCCCTGCAAAAAAAGAAAAAAAAATCTCTGCCCTGCAAAGTAGTTCCCTCCTATTTTCATTAACTATGGATAACCAGTAAAATATATGTAAATGTTTCATAAATGAAAAATGGAGGAAAGTGTGAAGTATGTAAATGAAAAACAGAGGAAAGCATGATGCTTCCCAACCCAACAACCAGAGGTAAGAAAAATAAAAAACAAAGTCTAAGAAAAAAGAATCAAAATACCGAAGGAGACACCGTGAAACGAGAAGAGGAAAGAAAAGCAAGCACATGGTCCAAAAACCAGGCAGGCTCAGACAGCACGTGAGCAAGCCAGAGGTGAAATAAGGCACGAGAAAGCTTGCAAAATGGTGCCGAGGAAGTATCAACACAGAAAGCAAGCTGTAGCAGCTCCTCCAGCATAGCAAAATGCAAGGCAACAATATTCTGCATGAGATGTCGATCAAGAAAAAGCCATGAAAGAAAGGAGAGCAACATGAGAGAAGAGAGATTTTCTAGTAAGAGAAAGAGGAAAAGAATGGTGAGAAATGTCCAAATTCTACCATCAACTTGATCAAATGCTTGACAGGAGACAATGTGGCACCCTTACCAAAACCTCATATATTAACACCAAGTAAAACACCCAGCACTTCCACAAACATGGTTACATCCTTTTCTTTTGCCAACATACAAGGCATCAAGACACGCAAAACAAAGTTCACTATCTAACTGGTCTCCTAAATAAAGCAACTACAAAGTTTGCAGTTTTGACTGAAACTCACATAAGAGACTTATGACAATTAGACATGGATACCAGAATTATTTTTTTTAGATGTGATAGAAAACATAGGAAAAAAATGTGACTCGACTTACGACCATGTCGTCGACTTACGACCATGTCGTTGACTTACGACCATGTCGTTGACTAACGACCTTTGTTGATACATGTTTGGGTCGACCGAGCACGTGTTCCTGATGGCATGGCCGACTCTGCCTCAGTTTACCAGAGACGTTCGCTCAGTGACGATCGCGCTTGTAAGGAATTTCAGTATTTTTGTGCATTTTTTTTAACATAAAAGTAATTATTATATACCATGCCATGGGTCCCAAGAAAGTCAGTGGTAAGGTTCAACCTAAGAAAACACATGTGAGGATGACAATAGAGGAAAAAAAAAGAGATAATTCATAAACATGAAAATGGTATGAGGGTTGTTGATGTAGAGTGGAGAATGTCCCTTCTTCATTTATTAAAAAAATGTGTGCAGTATGGAAAGAATTGCAAAGTTTTGCTGAAAAGTGTCGCCCAAATCAAGCTGTAGCAGGCCGTTGTGTTAACCTTTTTTATGACAATGTGATGTCTCACTTCAGACAAGTGTTACAATGTAGGAAAAAATAAGTCTTGCCAGACAGCTTTTTAGTGAGGAAAACAAGCAGTGAGCCACAAGCAGGTCCTAGTGTTATGCAGGCAAAATGTGCCATTTAACCACTTAACTGCGCCAACCAAGTTTTCTCGGTCGGCGGGAAACTGCGCCAACCGAGAAAACTCGTTTAGATTTTTCGTAACCAATTCTAAATGTGTACAAGGTTGGTTGTGTACGAAATGGACTTTTAGGACCTCCAGTGAGAGGCAGCCATCTTGGAAAAAAAATCCCAGAATGCCCTAGGGCTGCTGGCTGGGTTAGTACTGAATGAGCAACCATGGGTGGCGCACGCGCCTCTGGCTCCCAAACACCTGTCCGACGCGGTGTTGAAAGATAATGCTCTGTCGGTGAAATTCAAACCTTATTGTTTGAAGAACATAAGGGTCATAATATTGGAGAAGCCAGGCGCAATAAGGACCTAACACAAAGGTCGGATGCAAGTGATACAGCACCTATGAGGATGATATAGCGAGCATATCCAGTTGTAGCTCTGAGCGTCACCCTTGCAATCCTATGCTATTTATTTAGATGATACTTAGATGAATCGTTTTCTGCGTTCACTGATGATGCATCTGATACAAATAGCATAGACGAACAGTGTTAGCGGCTTCCATGGTGGTGTTTTCCATAGATATTTTCAAGAATACCTGAATCTCTTCCCAACTTGGACCCTTGAAGCTGAATCTCTTCCTGACTGACAGACACTCTTGAGGTAAGCTGAATCTCTTCCTGTGTGGGACCATACAAAGCGATCTTTTCAAGACTACCTTACAAATTGATCTTTTCCTATAATCTTTTCAATACTACCTTATGCTTTACAAGCTTGGTTACATACAACCTACAAGTTCTAAAGCCAAGGGTGTACGTGAGTGCGTTATTTGCAAGCACACAGAATGAAGAAACAGGAAGCGAAAATTTATCTGTACCTGGTGCACTGAGAGCGAAGTCGCGCTGTGTACCATGGGCTACTTCGTTGATTATTACTCACTTCCGAAGTACTGAGTGTGTAATACAGTGTGTTACTGTGTAAATAGTGTGTGAAACTGTACATATTGTAATTTTAGTGATTTTTTAACAGGTAATATTGCGACAATAAACATTTATTGTGGACACATTACTGACACATGTATCACAGTTCCATGGAACATTATGAACGTTCTACTGTATACATATTGTAAAGGACACAAATATGCATCATATACGATAAAAAAACAAATAAAACCGCATTGGAAATACATAAAACAAATAATTGAAAATATATTTGTGGCAACACCCGGTGCTTGAATGGCCCGCGCGACCGTGTCTGGGCGAGTCACACACGGGCGACCAGGCCCTGATGACGTCACAGCGCATCTTGTCCACGTCCCTACAGCCAAAGTAAGTGGAATTTGGTACTTATTTTTACATAGACATGTTCAGGGAAGGGAATTTATCATTTTACGAAGAAAAAAGAATTTTTTCAGAACACTTTTCATTTCATACGCACCGGGGGAATTTCTCAATAAACTCCGCACAGCACGGTGGTTAAACATGGGTACCATCGAACAAAAGGTCTTAGTCGACATGAACTTGAAACCGGCCATATACTGCAGGTATGTTGACGACATTTTTACACAGGTACCTGATGTCAATCATCTGCAGGAGCTGAAGGAGGCATTTGAGCGGAATTCTGTGTTGCATTTCACTTACGAGATGGAGAAGGATGGAAAGCTGCCCTTTCTAGATGTAACAGTCATGGAGAGGAGCAGAGGTCTCCACACTGCAGTCTACACTAAGGAAACAAACATAGAAATGTGCCTCAATGCCAACAGTGACTGCCCAGACATGTACAAGAGGAGTGTCGTTAACGCTTATGTCGACCGTGCTCTCAGCCACAGTTCAGGATGGAAGCAAGTCGATGAAGAACTCTGTAGGGTAAGGCAGGTCCTAGTCAACAACGGCTTCTCCAATGGTTTCGTTGAAGACATCATAAGAAGGAAGGTGAAACGCCATGCAACCTCTGAAGAGACAACTAACACAACACCTGTACCCCCTATTAGACTATTTTACAGGAACTTCTTTTCCACAGCTCATAAAATGGAGGAAAGGGTCCTGAAAGATATTGTTAATAGAAACGTTATCCCTACAGACAAAAATCAGAAGATACAATTGACGATCTACTATAAAACCAAGAAAATGGCCAACCTACTCATGAGAAACTCTCCAGACACAAAGCAGAACACTTTAAAAGAGACCAATGTCGTCTATGCCTTCAAATGCCCACTTGGGGACTGTAAGCCTCAAAGAATTCAGTATATAGGCAAGACAACAACATCTCTTTCCAGGCGATTAATGATGCATAAGCAACAGGGCTCCATTAAGGAACATATAATCTCTTCCCACAACCAGACCATCACCAGAGAAGTCTTAACAAAAAACACGGAAATCATCGATAGATACAGCGATAGCAGGCGGCTAGATATCTGCGAGGCACTACACATTAAGAAGTCGACACCAGCAATCAACAGCCAATTAATGCACAACTATATTCTACCCACTTCAAAACTTCGCACCAATATAGAAGCATCAAGAAATATGGGCCAATAGGCCCTTTGCAGTTACTTCCACTCTTCCCTTTAACTTACAAAATATTATACCCATTGTTTCGTGTTCTGTCTTGTGTTGAAAGTTTGTTTTCACCTCATCCAAAACTGTTGTAACATATCACCTCACTCAAATGCAGGTAAAAAATTGAAGATGTTTAAGCTCTGTTCAGTTATAGTTGTGTGTGTGTAAACTAAGGTCTTTGAAAATGTAATAAGTTTTACGAAACGCACTCAAGTGTCGCGTCAGACTAGAAATAAAAATGAATTTTGGAGAATTGATTTTTCAGTTACCATCAACAGTGAAAAAAATATAAGAAACATTGAGAAAATTCGTGTTAGAATTACCAATCTTACTTTTTCGGTCATATTTAATAATATATACATTGTATATACCTATCTACATTTTTGTGCACCATAATGAACCACAAAGATCATGTGTTGAGATCCTATATACACTCAACAACAATCCAAGGTCAGTCTAGCAACCGACAGAGGAGTGTGGCAAAGGCTGCCCCAAATACATTTTACATAATTATTTCAGTGTCTGTGAATGGTTTATACCTAGTTTTTTGCAGTAATATTATTCAATAATGTGGATATGTGGAATTTATATAGTTAAATGTATGGAACACTGCTATTCTAAAAAATATGGGGCTCATATATGATGACACAATATTATATTCTAAGATCATCCAAACAGTGTTCCTGTTGTTATTACATTATATATGTACATTATATATCACTATCAACATTAATATGCACTGTAACAAACTAATAAACAGTTCTGGTGGGTGTGGTGATGAAATCAAAACACAGCATCGAGCCACAAGCAGATGAAGCCAGCAGTCACATGATGCAACACAATGCCTCCAATATTTTACACATCTCACTATGACTAGCTACAAAACTGCTGTTAATATCACATGTCACAAAATCCCAAATATGAATCCATTTCCATAAGGAAATGAACAATAGTGAAGGAACATAAGATCGTTTCATGACACGTAGATGCAGGAAACAATGGCTGGGTGCTGTGTTTGTACCTCATGCTGTAAATATCATAGCTGACATTTTATTCACTGATATCTGAACATTGTACATAGTCTTTATCACAGTCAGGATCATCTATGACACTATCAGTGCAAAATAATTTAAGTTATCTATTTTATTCATAATTACTATGTGGTGCTCTGGCCCCTCGCTACACAGCAGTGCGGTGAGCTCCTGCTGCATGTGCCAGCCTTGGTTGCTCTCTCAGTACTAAGGCTCTCACAGCCAGCACAGATGCTGACAATTTTTTTTCTAGATGGCGTCGGTTTACAAGAGTCATGAGGTAAATGATGTAAGCCCCTTCGTGTATCTACAGGACTTTTGAATCGCTCCCTATACCTAAAAGCACCATATGGTGCTCTGTGCACCCCCTGATCGGGTGCCTTAAGGCACTCTGTGCAGTGCAGTGCTTAAAAAACCAACTTACAAAAACAGAATAGCACTCAGAAAACCTCACAAAACCCTGCCCCACAAATATCATCTTGCTTGGCAACTTCAACTTACAGTACCTAAAATGAAAAAAGGTGGCAAATGCCACATATGGCAGTTATATCAGAGAATCCCAGGAAGCAGTTTAAGAGAACATACAGATGGCCTCTTGCAAAATGTGTGACAGATTTGCCTGAAACCAGCAAATAGTATAACCAACTAGGAAAGAAAACACCTTGGATTTTATTTTTACAAACAATGATGAACTGACTTGGGACATACTGATTACAAATACATGTTAACCTCAGATCATAACTTATTTAAATTTCAAAACTGCATGCGCAATAGACCTGTACAGCCAGTCTCAAATCCAAGAGGAGTAGAATTCAGCAAATTCAATTTCAATAACAAACAGATTAACTGGGAATCAATAAACCAATTCCTCAAAGAAATATGCTGGGAAAGAAAGCTAGATAATGCAAACTTAAACCAGTGCCTTGAGAAAATAGACACAGTAGCACTAGAAATGTATGCAGGTCACATACCACTAAGGAGAAAGAACTCTAGAACTCTATGGTTGATGTGACCCCAGTCGATGATAACCATCACAGCATATTGCTTCAGGAAATCACCAAGACTCACCCAGAAATTGGCCTTTAATTACATTCAATGCTGGTTTTTAGATCCAGATAAATGTAGTCAATCCAACCATCTCTTACCTGTAAAATCTCTGTGGTTCTAATATAAAAACTAAGTATGGTAGATTTGTTACATGTGATCTTCCTAATCGAAAAAATACTGTCTGCAATAATATAATTTCTCTCCACATTTTAATTATTCGATCATATATACTCTGAACCATATTCATTCATAATTTAATGACAGACAGCCTTGGTGATGAAGTTATCAATGATATAACCTCCCCAACTCTACCAATAACGGGATCTGATCTGCTGAAAGAGATGGAGCCATGGAAAATGCCCCGGGTTCAGACACCGAGCAAGCAGCGCCTGAAACCAAGGCTGGACCAGCCACCAAGGGGCCACTAGGATGACTCTCCTGTGGTAAGACACCAACTGAGCTAGAACCCAAAGCAACAGCTGGACTGGGAGGAAGAGGTACAGGAAACCCCACCTCGACCAGTCCTGCTGAAAGGGGTCCACTGTGAAGGCTCCGCAGTCATGGAAGGGCGCTGCATTTATCGGGAGACACACAGACCACACCGACACGAAGAGGTCCACTTTCGGAAGCCCTTACCTCCGGCAGAGTCAACTGAAGGAGTAGGTGTGAACCATCCATTCCGTGGACAGGGAAATAATCCAAGACAAGCTGTTTACCAGGATGTTGGACACCCTCCAACTATGAACTGCACAGAGAGCCAAATCCTGAGAAACCAGCAGACGAGCCACTTGAAGCGACTAGCCCCAAATGAAGCTCTTGCTGCTGAATCTCTTCCAGCGAGGGGACCTTACAAAGCGATCTTTTCAAGACTACCATACAAATTGATCTTTTCCTATAATCTTTTCAAGACTACCTTACATTTCACAAACTTGGCTACATATCACCTACAGGTACTAAAGCCAAGGGTGTATGTGAGTATGTTATTTGCAAACACTCAGAATGAAGAAACAGGAAGCAAAAATCTACCTGTACCTGGTGCAACGAGACTGAAGTCTCGCTGTGTACCATGGACTGCTTCATTGATTATCACTCACTTCCTAAGTACTGTATTGAGTGTAATTACCTAAGTGTAATTACCTAAGTGTAGTTACAGGATGAGAGCTACGCTCGTGGTGTCCCGTCTTCCCAGCACTCTTTGTCATATAACGCTTTGAAACTACTGACGGTCTTGGCCTCCACCACCTTCTCACTTAACTTGTTCCAACCGTCTACCACTCTATTTGCGAAGGTGAATTTTCTTATATTTCTTCGGCATCTGTGTTTAGCTAGTTTAAATCTATGACCTCTTGTTCTTGAAGTTCCAGGTCTCAGGAAGTCTTCCCTGTCGATTTTGTCAATTCCTGTTACTATTTTGTATGTAGTGATCATATCACCTCTTTTTCTTCTGTCTTCTAGTTTTGGCATATTTAATTCTTCTAACCTCTCCTCGTAGCTCTTGCCCTTCAGTTCTGGGAGCCACTTAGTAGCATGTCTTTGCACCTTTTCCAGTTTGTTGATGTGCTTCTTAAGATATGGGCACCACACAACAGCTGCATATTCTAGCTTTGGCCTAACAAAAGTCATGAACAATTTCTTTAGTATATCGCCATCCATGTATTTAAATGCAATTCTGAAGTTAGAAAGCATAGCATAGGCTCCTTGCACAATATTCTTTATGTGGTCCTCAGGTGATAGTTTTCTATCTAGAACCACTCCTAGATCTCTTTCTTTATCAGAATTCTTTAAAGATTTCTCACATAATATATAGGTTGTGTGGGGTCTATGTTCTCCTATTCCACATTCCATAACATGACATTTATTAACATTAAATTCCATTTGCCAAGTGGTGCTCCATATACTTATTTTGTCCAGGTCTTTTTGAAGGGCATGACAGTGTAATACAGAGTGTGTTACTGTGTAAATTGTGTGTGAAACTGTACATAGTGTAATTTTAGTGAATTTTTAACAAGTAATATTGACAATAAACATTAATTGTGGACACATTATCGACATATGTATCACAGTTCCATTGAGCATTATGAACGTTTTACTGTATACATACTGTAAAGGACACAAATATGCATCATATTCGATAAAAAAAAAAAAACGCATTTAAATAAATAGAACAAATAAATGAAAATATATTTGTGGCAATTTGCGGTGCTTGAATGGCATGTGTGACCGCCTCTGGGAGCTTCACGCACGGGTGACCAGCCCGTGATGAGCCCTTCTCCATGTCCCCACAGCCAAAGTAAGTGGAATTTTTTAATTTTTTTTAACATGTACGTGTTCACGGAAGGGAATTTATCATTTTACAAAGATAAAAAAAATTGCAAACACTTCATTTTAACCGCACAGGGGGAATGTCACAATAAACTCGGCGCATCACAGTAGTTAAGGACCTGTCCGAAATGCAATGCATGGTAGTGGCTTTGCAAGAATGTAAAAACCTCAATGATAAGTACTCTCATAAACCCAATGTACCTATATAAGTAAATAAATAAATAAATATATATATATATATATATATATATATAAATAAATAAATAAATAAATAAATAAATAAATATATTATTATTATTACTATTTTCCACATATCGGCCAAGATTCCTGTAAACAAAAATGATTGGAAAATAAATTGAAGTGAAGTGCTAAGCTCAGATGATCATTCTCTCAGAATATTTTTCCAAGGTGATACCTTATCTGGACCAAGTGCTTTGTTCCTACTTGGCTCCTTGATTATTTTTCCACTTCGTCTCAAGACACCTCTATGTACTCAATTTTATTATCTGTAATTTGTATTGTGTCAGGTTGTCTGAAAACTTCATTTTTCACAAAGAAACTTTGGAACTGATCATTTAGTGTAGCACACACTTCCTTTTCATTCATGAAGGCCACTGTAGATAGTAACCCTCAGGTAAATTTAGGTAATTCCCAACATCCATTCTCTAATTATCACAGTCCATGCATTAACTTTCCAACAATCTCTTCCTTCCCCTCTGCACATTCAATTACTACATTAATCGACTTGATTAACATTTACTTAGTCATTAATTATTATAAGCTTTACTACTTACCCTCCACCAGATAGCCCTCAGCTGTGTGAGTGTTGAAGATGCAGGATACATTGAGTTTCTCAGCTGTTATGGAATGAGTTGCCTGTCCATCACGCTCACGTTCCCATACAAGAAAACTTTCCTTGTTTTGCTCATCGATCACCTCTAATGTTAAGTCATATTTCTGGGGAAAGAAAATGGATAGAATACATAAATTATATTCAATAAACATTAGAGAAAGAGGGAGTGAAAAATATGAAGAGGGGGAACAAGTTCCTCAAGATTGCATACACCAACATAGATGGAGTAAGATCAAAGATACTGGAGTTAAGTGATATAATACAGCTGCAGACACCAGACATTGTTGCACTCACGGAGACAAAACTTGAAGATGCTATTTTAAATGAGGTCATATTCCTAAGGGGCTACTCAATTTGGAGACGGGACAGAAAAATCAGGAAAGGCGGTGGCGTTGCTGTGCTGGTGAAAGAACACCTAAAGGTGAACGAAATAATGACTGCCAATCCACAAGAAGTTGACATAATAGCACTAGAGATCTGCCATGAGGATGATAAACTAATGATCATAAATGTATATAGTCCACCGCTAAACAGCACATGGTCAAAGGAGGAGCTAGATAGTAAACGAGAAGGTCTTATAACAATAATGAGAGAGATCATAGCGAGAGCGGATAACGATAGTTCACGACTGTTGATAGTCGGCGACTTCAACTTGAAATCCATAGACTGGGAAGCATGTGAAGCTAAAACAGAAGATTTCTGGACCTGTAAATTTGTAGACCTCATCCTGGAAACATTCTTGTATCAACATGTTAAACAAGCTACGAGGATGAGGGAAAGGGACGTTCCCTCCATGCTAGATTTGATATTTACCAGGAAGGAGGAAGAAATATTTGACATTCAGTACCTTCCTCCCTTGGGTAAGAGTGACCATGTCTTTTTGGGAATAAAGTATGCAATGCGTTATAATCTGGAAGAAAATATGACAGTCGATGCAATTAAAAAACCTGACTTTAGGAGAGGACATTATGGCAACCTTAGAAAAATTTTTAGTGAGTATAATTGGACAGACTTCTTGCTAGGCAAGGAAGTGAATGAGATGTATGTCAGGTTTTGTGAAATATATGATAAAGGCACAAAAAAATTTATACCAAAACAGAGAAGCAGAACTAGGAAACAGGATTGGTTCAACAGAAAGTGAGAGAGGGCCAGAGACCAAAAGACACAAAAATGGAATCAATACAGGAAGAGGCCGAACCCCCAAACATACCAGCGATACAAAGATGCGAGAAACAACTACACGGCAGTGAGGAGAGAGGCAGAAAGAAATTTTGAAAAAGGAATTGCAGACAAATGTAAAACAGAACCAGGTCTATTCTATAAATTCATAAACAACAAATTGCACGTAAAGGATAATATTCAGAGGTTGAAAATGGGAAATAGATTCACGGAAAATGAAAAGGAAATGTGCGAAACATTAAACGAAAAGTTCCAAAGTGTGTTTGTACAAAATGAAATCTTCAGGGAACCAGATACAACAAGAATTCCCGAGAACAACATAGAGCACATAGAGGTATCTAGAGACGAAGTGGAAAAAATGCTCAAGGAGCTAAAAAAGAACAAAGCAGTTGGTCCAGATGGAGTTTCACCATGGGTTCTGAGAGAATGTGCACCTGAGCTCAGCATTCCTCTTCAACTGATTTTTCAGGCATCCCTGTTTACAGGAGTTGTAGCTGATGTGTGGAAAAAGGCTAACATAGTTCCAATCTACAAAAGTGGCAGCAGGGAAGACCCCCTCAATTATAGACCTGTATCATTGACAAGTGTAATAGTGAAAGTATTGGAAAAACTAATCAAAACTAAATGGGTAGAACACCTGGAGAGAAATGATATAATATCAAACAGACAGTATGGTTTTCGATCTGGAAGATCCTGTGTATTGAATTTACTCAGTTTCTATGATCGAGCCACAGAGATATTACAGGAAAGAGATGGCTGGGTTGACTGCATCTATCTGGACCTAAAAAAGGCTTTCGACAGAGTTCCACATAAGAGGTTGTTCTGGAAACTGGAAAATATTAGAGGGGTGACAGGTAAGCTTCTAACATGGATGAAAAATTTTCTGACTGATAGAAAAATGAGGGCAGTAATCAGAGGCAATGTATCGGAATGGAGAAATGTCACAAGTGGAGTACCACAGGGTTCAGTTCTTGCACCAGTGATGTTTATTGTCTACATAAATGATCTACCAGTTGGTATACAGAATTATATGAACATGTTTGCAGATGATGCTAAGATAATAGGAAGGATAAGAAATTTAGATGATTGTCATGCCCTTCAAGAAGACCTGGACAAAATAAGTATATGGAGCACCACTTGGCAAATGGAATTTAATGTTAATAAATGTCATGTTATGGAATGTGGAATAGGAGAACATAGACCCCACACAACGTATATATTATGTGAGAAATCTTTAAAGAATTCTGATAAAGAAAGAGATCTAGGGGTGGTTCTAGATAGAAAACTATCACCCGAGGACCACACAAAGAATATTGTGCAAGGAGCCTATGCATGCTTTCTAACTTCAGAATTGCTTTTAAATACATGGATGGCGATATACTAAAGAAATTGTTCATGACTTTTGTTAGGCCAAAGCTAGAATATGCAGCTGTTGTGTGGTGCCCATATCTTAAGAAGCACATCAACAAACTGGAAAAGGTGCAAAGACATGCTACTAAGTGGCTCCCAGAACTGAAGGGCAAGAGCTACGAGGAGAGGTTAGAAGCATTAAATATGCCAAAACTATTAGACAGAAGAAAAAGAGGTGATATGATCACTACGTACAAAATAGTAACAGGAATTAATAAAATCGACAGAGAAGACTTCCTGAGACCTGGAACTTCAAGAACAAGAGGTCATAGATTTAAACTAGCTAAACACAGATGCCGAAGAAATATAAGAAAATTCACCTTCGCAAAGAGAGTGGTAGACGGTTGGAACAAGTTAAGTGAGAAGGCGGTGGAGGCCAAGACCGTCAGTAATTTCAAAGCGTTATATGACAAAGAGTGCTGGGAAGACGGGACACCACGAGTGTAGCTCTCATCCTGTAACTACACTTAGGTAATTACCTGTTTTGCATCTGTCATGCTGCCTGTTGGGTCAATGACACCTTTGACCCAGAGTCTTGCGAGTCGAGTTCCTTGTTCATACTCCAGTTTACCCATTCCACTGATATTGATGTTTGGGTACAGACGACTTCGACGTTGCATGCAAGGTGTTGGTTGCTGTAGCGCACTAGGTTGGTTGCTCACCCGGGATGCCCCAAGGCAGTCCCGTTTGGGTTATAGGGACCCGGACTTGGGGAAGTTAGTCGCTTCGATTTTGGTTTCATCTGCGCTCCCCAAGTCCTTCTCCAGTTGGTGTTCATCCTTCTCTACCCCAACCCCCTGCTCCCGGCTCTCAAACATCTGAGGGTTTCAGAGTCGGGGCAGGGTTTAGATGGCTCTGGATGGATGAAGGATGGCTCTGCCTCGAATCCTGGTGTGGAGGATTCTGGGGCTGGTGAGGAGTTGACTTGGGGGGCCTGGGCCTCATTTGACCCCACTTCGGTGGTGGTACCCTCATTGCGGGGCTTGTTGTTGCAGGGGGGAGGGGTTTTCTTAACCCCCTTTTCCTGTATGAGTATGATTTTGGGTTCGGCTCCTCCCTGGGTTCGGTTCCGAGTTCCCTTGGGTTCTTCAGTTCCTTCTTTCCGGAGGTTTTCAACTTCTCGAATCTCACCAGGGAGGTTCGAGAGGCTCTTGCAGCAGATTCCGTGTCAGTGATGGATCCGTTTTCTTTTGAGTTCGGTTCTACTTTCGCCTATTGGGTGTGTTACGAGGTACTGGTCTTCCTGGCTGGCAGACTGCCCTTTCATTTCATTGGGGGCGTGGCATGGGTTTTGTCGGACTTGCACGTTTGAGTGGCAGGAGACTTCTTCTGTTAAGCAAGTTTACCTGGGGAAGCCGAGTTTGAGCGCCTTACTGCGTGCTTGTTTGCCCGTTCTTCCTTGGGATGTTGGCATTGTGCAGCTGCATGTGCACATTTTCCCCCCTTTCGGCTTCCTTGATAGCTGAGGATTTGCGTGCCCATGGCTATTTGGCCTCGGTCTTGCGTTTCTTCTATTTTCTTGAGCTATCCTCAGACTGGCTTGAGGAGGATGTGGAGGCGCTGGGTGTCAGGTCTTCATCCGGTGTGCTTGTCTTGGTGGCTCGAGCATCGGCTGCCTTGTTAAAGTTGTATATGTTGGGCTGGTTGTTATAAAGTTGTAAAGGCTGGGGCTTAATGCTCACCAGGCTGGCCAGGGGCGATGAGCTCCGTCCTTCTGTCGGGCTCACAGCACGGTGCAGGAGTTCGAGGCAGTTTGCCTGTTGCTTCAGAGGGTCCGGGTCTCTCAGGGTTCAACAATCAGGCTCCATTCAGACTGTACTCAGGTGGTTCATTGCTTAAGCTGCAAGGGTTCTCTTCAGTCCTTGGCTCTTTGGGACTAGTCGCTTCAAGTGACTCGTCAGCTGGATTCTCGGGGTTTTGGCTCTCAGTGCGGTTCAGGCCCCAGGAGGTGTCCAACGTCTTCACGGACGGCCTGTCTCGGTTCATTTCCCTGTCCATGGAATGGGCGGGCAACACCAACATCTTCGGTTGGCTCTGCCAGACATACAGACTCCTGGATGTGGGCCCCTACATGTTGGCGTGGTTCCAGCATCTTTCCGTGTATGTATCGCCCTTCTCTGATTGCGAAGCCGTCACTGTGGACGCTTTTTGGCAGGACTGGACGAGGTGGGGTTACCTGTGCCTCTTTCCCCCGGTCCAGCTGTTGCTTTGGGTCCTGGCTCAGTTGGAGACTTACCAGGGGAGAGTAGTTCTGTTGGCCCCTTGGTGACCAGCTCAGCCTTGGTTTCAGGCGCGGCTTGCTCGGTGTCTGAACCCAAGGTGTTTTCTGTGGCTCCGCCACTTTCAGCAGATCCGGTTGGTCTGGTACATGGCTGGTTTGATCTACTCATATGCTCTTCGTGTCTGGTCTTCTTGACATGGGTGTATCACCAATTGTATGGTGATCGGGTGGCTTCGTTGATGGTGTCCCACCTGTAAGCTTCGTCTCGGCAACAGTATGAAGTTTCCTGGTGTTCTTTTCATCATTTTCTCTCCCTTAGTAGGTTGTCGTCTATTTCAGATCGAGTTGTTTTGTCCTTTCTTTCTTGGCTTTTTCAGGACCATTATTTGATGCCTAATGCCTTTCGCCTCACATCATGCGGTGCTGGTAGAGCCGTTGCAGCTTGCGTTTGGGGTGGATGTTACTTCTGCTCTGTTCTACAAGTTTTCTCATACTTTGTTTCACCTACGGCCTGCTCATGCATCGCCTGAGCCATCCTGGTCCTTGGACCAGGTGTCTCTTTTCTCTCTTCCCCCTAGGTTTGTGGTGGCCCCTTCAGTTCAGGACTGTTTTTCTAAGGCTCCTTTCCTGTTGGCATTGGCCTCTTGGGGTCGGGTCGAGGAGTTTCATGCTCTCCTCCAGAGCAGGGGTTTCTGCTATTTTGGTCCTGGTGGTAGGTTTGTTTGGCTGCAGCCGTCTCCTCCTTTTCTGACAAAGGACGAGTCAGTGGCTTTCCAAAGGGGCCCTTAGGTCGTTGATGCTTTTTTTGGTCAGGACCGGGGTTCATCATGTGTTGTGTCCAGTTGCTGCTTTTCGCCATTACCTGCACGCCACAGCCTCTGTGGCCGGGGGATGCACTTTGGATTGAATCCGGTCTCCCTCATTTTCTGTTCCAGGGCTCAGGTCTCCCAGGTCATACACAGGGTCATTTGGTCCAGCCAGCCTGCAGTCTATCCTTGTGCCTTGTGCCCATGATGTTTGTGAGGCTACTGCTTTGGCTGCCATCTTTGGTAACATGTCTTGGGGTGACACTCGGGCATGAGGGTTTTGGAGGTCGAACAGGGTCCTGGCCGTCCATTACCTGGTCAACGTTCCTGGCCCTAGTCGGGCGTGTCGCTTTGGGTTGCAGGTTGCAGCCAGTTGTCTCCACTTTGAGTGGAGAAGCAAGTGGCGACCACATCCCAGTTAAGTCCCTCTTGTTTCTTTTCTTAGGTTAGGTAGCTCTGGGGAGCTGAAAGGGCTCCCCACAGAAAACCAGCAATGAATGTAATGAAATACCATTTTCTGGGCGAGCCCCGGAGGCTCCCTGACACCCTCCCTTCTTCGGTCGTCAGTTTTTGCATTTTTTGAAGCTCTGCCTACAAACTGAATGGTGGAGCAGCTAACATGGAGGGTCATGGGCACCCACCCCCCTCCCAGGGGTGGGGGGCTAGGGTGGGGCTGCACGAACTAGCGGCACGATGACGGGGGTGTGATGTTTGCTTGTATGTTTGTTTTAAAATTTGGGAGTTCTGTTTCTTTGTTCGTCTTTGGTAGCATTTAAATTTTTTTTACCATGTGGGATACGTTTTGTTACGCCTACCTTTTTAGGTGCCAAAACCAGGTCGATGGCAGACATGGAATGCTTCCAAATACATGGGGATTACCATAGGCCATTGCTCCTTGTACCACTTTGAGGGGGGGCCAGGTTCTGGCTCATGGTCCCTGGTAGGTAAGAACTCTAATCGACTGACACCACAGTTGCACAATGTTCTTTATGCGGACCATAGGTGATAGTTTTTTTTATCTAGAACCACCCCTAGATCTCTCTATCAGAATTTTTTAAAGCTTTTTCATATAATTTGTAGTTTGTGTGTGATCTATTTTCTCCTACTGTATTCCACATTCCATAACATGGCATTTATTCACATTAAATTCCATGTACCAAGTGGTGTTCCATACACTTATTTTGTTCAGGTCATCTTAAAGGGTATTTTACCTAAGAGCCACTAACAGTAGTGGCCTTGATGAGGACAGCAAGCCGGCAGCTTGCCAAAGGTTGCCTTGATAATCTTTTCCATTTGTACTTTAAAAGTTACCAGTTTTGGCAGTTACGGCTTCAGCAGGTAGGCGGTTCCATGGGTTAATAACCCTGTCTGTGAAAAAACATCTGTTGTTTTGGAGGTGCCTTTTTCTCCAAGCCTTCTTCTCCTGGTAATTAACCCATTTAGTTTTAATTATTTTTTCCAATATTTTGACTATTACACTTGAGGGGGGGGGGTCTTCCCTGCTACCACTTTTGTAGATTGGAACTATGTTAGCCTTTTTCCACACATCTGCTATGACTCTTGTACACAGGGATGCCTGAAAAATAAATTGAAGTGGAATGCTTAGCTCCGATGCACATTCTCTCAGAAACCATGGTGAAACTCCATCTGGGCCAACTGCTTTGTTCTTACTTTTGTGTAATTACCTAAGTGTAATTTCAGGAAGAGAGCTGTGATCATGGTGTTCTATCTTCCATCATAACATGTTTTGAAGCTCCAGTAGTTTTGGCATCCACTATCCTCTCACATAATTTAGTCCATCTGTGTACAACTTAGTTTTTAAAGAGAATGCTTTCCTGTTCCCAAGATACATTTGCTCAATCAGCAAGATATCTTACACACTTAACTGACATAATTGCAGTTCAACTTGAAACTCACAGGCGGTAGCTGCGGGACAGGGGCAGATGGGCGTCTTGGTGGTGATGTAGATGATGGCACTGGAGTGGGCAATGGGCGAACTGGGTGCTGAGTTTTCCTAGTGGTGGGTGTGGAGGTGACTGTGGGTGTGTCCTTGTTGGTGGAGCCATCATCAGGTTCATCTGAGTAATAATAACTGCTGATAATATTTATTCTGTGAAAAAAATGCAGTAATGAATGAATATAAGTATATCATTGCACTACAACATGTTTTCCAAGAACAACAGTCGTATTACACAAAATATTCCCTATATCATCACAAAGCAGCATCATTACATCTAGTACTAATACTATACCAAACACTTAACATTTAAATAATGCCAACAACATTTTACTTCACAGTAAAACATGTCATACTTGTTAAAGAACTGAGAGGCAACCTAAACAAGTTGACAAACTTATCCCAAGACAAATTCAAAGCTAGAAATAAAGAGAAGGAAGGTGATCAAGATAGTAAATGGGAAAATAAACTGACAAAGTGTTCTACATAGTATAGCTCAGTGGTCTACATCCTTGGCTCACAACTGAGGTTCCTGGGTTCAATACCTTGGCAGGACAGAGACAGTTGGTAATGTTTTCTTTCACCTTATACCTCTGTTCAACTAGAAGTAAACAGGTACCTAAGAATCTGGCAACAGTTGTGGGTTTCATCCTGGGTAAGATTATCAGTAGCTGGTTTCCTGCCTCTCAACTATGGGAAAATCATAAAGTGAACAATAATTAACCCTATAAATCTCCATAGACAATCATGAAAAAAAAGGACAATATACGGAAAAATATTATGAGAGAGTATGAAATAAGTAACAATCTAAATAAATTCATTAGTACCTCATCAGTTGCAGGCTATCAAGGTAAGTTCAGAAACTGATGAACAACTCACTGATGTACTGAAAAACCTGGTAGGGAAGGAGGGAGTCAGGGAACCACAGGGGCTCTACCAGAAACAGGCATTACATTTAACGCCGAGTTTCTGGCCGAGTCCTCCGGTGGCTCACTGAAGCAAACTAACCACAGAGAAGACAACAAGAGACTTACTAGGAAGGTAGAGGTGTGGCAAGTGCCAAGACAAAGGAGGAAAACTAGGCCAGGACACATGGTACAAAGCAACATTGACTGTGACCAGGAACATTAACCAAATACCGGGCTTACACTACCATGTTAAAACCAAAAAAACTCATGAGCACAAATATCAGCCTAAGATATGTTGGTAAAAACCACCACCAAGTTCAGTCCCTCAAGGTACCATACTTACCCTGGTACTTTCCTCATCCTTATATCAGACATAGACAAGAATACAAACTATAGTACTTTATCACCCTTTGCAGTCTTTCAATGGGTTACAGAAAACATTATGATGTGTAATGAGGGTACATTCCAGTAACTGCACAATGGAAAATCCTGTCTCACTTTCAGCTTTCCCCTCCACTCCCTCCCCTGGCTGTCTACGAAGCAGTTTAGGATTTTGGAGCTGGGTTGGGGTTTAACCTAACACCTGAGGATGCATTGCTATCTCAGGTGTTAGATGAGAACGATGTCTCTGCCCTGGAGCCTTCATGGAAGGCTTCTGGGGCTGAGGGGGAATCCAAGAAAGGTTCTTGTGTGCCTTTCAACATTACTTAGGCCTTGGTTCTCTCTGGAAGGGTGTTCTGCTTTTAGAAGGAATAGACCATTTTGTTTACCCTCCCCCCCCCCCTTTTCATGTATGGGTGTGATCACTAAGCTGCTTCCCCATGGGCTCGATTTTGGGTCCCATTTGGTACCTCATTACTGTCGTATTTCCACATGTTTCTGTCTTTTCATATTTAACCTTTGGTAGCTCTCACAGACCTGTTTCAGTGCCTCCTGCAAAATCCAGTTCTCCTTTTACTGATGGACCTCGCCAATTTTGAGTTCAGGTCTGTTTTATTGGCTGAGGTGTGAGGGTTGGGATTCATCCAGGCTGGCTGACAACCTTCTTTTTACTTTGGGGCTTGGTCGGCATTCTGTCTAACCCACATGGGTTAGACAGAGTTATCATAGGAAGTTATCAGAGTTATCATGGGTTATCATAGGAAGAGTCATGGCCAGGTTCTGGCGACGACCAATGGAGTCCTGACAGTCTCCAGGTCCAGCCCTTATTAAGAATGTCTCCTTTTATCACCTGAGGACCACATTAAGAACATTGTGCAAGGAGCCTATGCTACACTTTCTAACTTCAGAATTGTTTTTAAATACATGGATGGAGAAATACTAAAGAAATTGTTCATGAGTTTTGTTAGACCAAAGCTGGAATATGCAGTGGTTGTATGGTGCCCATATCTTAAGAAGCACATCAACAAACTGGAAATGGTGCAAATTAGAAGACATTAACCACATCATTTCTTTATAAGGACAAATGAAAATCATATACATCACACAAGAGCTCACAGCTCATTAAGCCCTAATCTTGGACAGAAAACTGGAAAGGCTTAATTTTTCACCCATAATGAAGGAACCTTAGACAAACCACTGACTTCTTGTCCCTGTCCAGCAGGGGGGGGGGAACAGGATGAACAACACGAACTGGGGAAGGACCTGGCAGCGCGGACGTAACTAAAGTCGAAGTGATTAACACCAAGAAGTTTAGGTTTCTATAACCCAAGTGGGGCAACCTCAGGGCATCCGGGTGAGCAACCAACCTAGCGCGTTGCAGCAACCGATATCTAGCATGCAACACCAAAGCTGCCTGAATCCGAACATCAATATCAGAAGACTGGGTAATCTGGAGCACAAGCAAGGAACAAGACTCGCAAGACTCCATGTCAAAGGTGTCATTGACACAACAGGCAGCATAATGGAAGCAAAATCGGTGAGTGTCACTCTGGGACAAGGGGACAGAGCAACCATCAAACTCGCTCTCGGCGAGTTGGAACTCGGAGGATGCATCCATAGGTTCAAAGAGCCCCAGTGGAGTTTTCCAGGGCCCTTAGGCTGACTGCTAAGGGAAGCACAGACAAGTATTGCTAACCGGTTAGGCCAAAACTACCAAGAGAACTGCTAAAAACCTCCTTGTGACGTGTACAAACACGGGGGCTAGCGGAGGACCATCAATATAACAAAGTGGATAACCATGGGGCCAAACCCCTACCTGACAAAACAAACAAAAACAAAAAGAAAACCAAGCATAAGCACAATGTCCCCAGGAGGGTCAGAACTGGCTGCTGTTAATAATGGGAGAAAAGCTGCACAATACCTTGTGCCCCTACCATCAACGATTCCACTTCCTACCCAAGGCCAAACTGTGGCCAAAAAAACCAGCTGGCCCCAAGGGCAGGCAACTGCCGAGCAGCAAAAGACCCCTACATAAGCGGTTCCTGAACGCACTGTGAAAGATATCCCCAAGATGCAAGGGCAGTACTTACTGGGCGCTTAGGAAAACGCCCTAAACGCATCCAGCCACAGTACTGATGTATTAACCTTGGCTTGCACACCGAGCCACAGAATAACACTACAAGGTACAAGACTGCATAGAATGAGAGTCCAGAGTCGACAGCTGCCACAGTCAGACATCAGCCAAGGAACTGAATGCTGTAGCAACCAACACAGGGAGGAGAGGAGGTGGGGTCCGGGGCTCCCAGAGGGGAAGGGGGGGCTGCTCAGACGATCTGTGCGACAGCATTAGTAACATTTGCTTGCTTTAGTTTTGGAGTTTTGCCTATCTATTGGGGTTTTAGTAGTGATTTTTACCATGTGGGGTTTGATTTGTTACACCTACCTTTCTGGGTGCCAAACCCCAGTCGATGGCAGACATGGAATGCTTACAAATACATGAGGATTTCCATAGGCCATTGCTCAGCGTGGCTCTCTGAGGGGCCTGGTTCTGGTCTACCTGGTCTCCGGTAGGCAAGAACTCCAATCGACTGATGCCACAGTACAAACAGTACTGATGCCACAGTACTGTACTAGGTGAGTATAGTCTAATACATATCAGCCTGGTAAGCTCTGGGGAGCCATAGGGGCTCCCCACAGAAAAGAACTGACAATAGAACATGTCTACCAATGAAACTCTTATTTAGAAAATCACTAAATCAAGGGAAAGTTCCCATAGATTGGAAATAGTAAAAAATTACCCCTATCTTCAAGAAAGGTAGAAAAAGTTGTCAGCAGAAAACTAGCAACCAATCAGCCTAACTTGCCATATACAGTACAGTATGTAGATTCATGGAGGGAGGAAATCATTTAACACATCACAGCTCACAATCTTTGAAAAGCAACATAAAATGGTTTTGTAAAAATTTAATCCTGCTTAACTAATCTGCTCACATTTCTGGAAAGGGTAACTAGTTACTTACACAAAAGACTACCAGTAGATAAGGAAAGCTTGGCACAGAAAATGTAAGAACATAGAATAAAAGGAAAATATTAGAATGGCTAAAACAGGGCATTAAATTAAGAATATTAATAATTGTTATTTTAATTGTTAATAATTACCAATTAACAATGGCATTGAAAGCCAATGGTTGTCCTAAATGGACGACCATTGAACCACATCAAATTTGCAGACAAAAAATCTATGACAGCAGGAAGCAAAAATGATATCGAGGCCTTGCAAAGCGATCTACTTGAAGTTCATAAATGGTCAGTGGTTCAGCAGGTAGGAGCTGTGGTACAAAATCATCCGAGCTAAGTCAACTCGCATTACAGATGCTCATCACCTTAGGATTAAAATTCTCTACAAGCCAGACATGACAGAGCTAATGTCAAATTGGAAATGTCAATAATGTCAAATTGGAAGACATTAACCCACACCATTTCTTTATAAGGACCAATGTAAATCATATAAATCACACAAGAGCTCACAGCTCACTAAGCCCCAATTTTGGACAGAAAACAAAAAAGGCTTAATTTTTCACCCATAATGGAGGAAACTTAGATAAGCCACTGACTTCCTGTCCCTGTCCAGGTCACTCAAAAAGACTGGCCCTTGGGTAAATTCAAGAAGATATGGCTAAGCAAAAGAGGGTTAGTAGGTTTGGTAATTGAATCTAACAACCTAAAGGCTGGGCCGAAGAGCTGAAGTTTATTTCTAGCAATCAATAACAGGTAAGAAATCTAGAGTATATTAGAGCACTCACCTAAACTATGAGACGTAGTGGGCTGGAGTAGTCTTTGCTGGTGGGAAGGGAGTTTGGTGGACGTGGTCGTGGGCTTGTGGGAGGTGGGGGCACGGAGCACAGGTGTGGGTGTGGTTGGTACCTCAGGTACCTCATTTTCCTTCACTACCAGGCCTCCCACTGTGCACGCCCACAACGCTACAACATACACCACAACCTTCATAGCCTGAGGGCAAGCAGAAAAAGTAAGTTATAAATTATTATTAAATAAATGTCCATTTATAAAGTACAGTACAGTATTGTAATATAAATTGCATATAGAGGGTACTTAATTAAATAAAATCAAAATATTTATTCAGGTAAAAGTACATACATAGAAGATGAGTTACAAATATAATGTTGGATTTATAGATAGAGCTAGTACATACAATACCTAAAGCCACTAATACGCACAGCCTTTCAGGCAATACTTTATATACTGCATACTTTACTGTATACACATATTTACATAAACAAAATAATTATGAACTAAGTTCCAAGCATAGACAAGTTTTCAACTAAAGTTGCAAAGGTTAAGAAAGGCGGTGAAAGGTTAGGGTAGGCGGCAAAGGGTTAGGATAGGTGGCAAAGGGTTAGGAAAGGCGGCAAAGGGTTAGGGAATGTGGTGAAGGGTTAGGGAAGGTGGCAAAGGATTGGAGAAGGTGGAGAAAGGTTATGAAAGTCGGTGTAGGGTTAGGAAAGGTCGCAAAGGTTTACGGAAGGTGGCAAAGGGTTTGGGAAGGTGGCCAAGGGTTGGAGAAGGTGGCAAAGGATTGGAGAAGGTGGAAAAAGGTTATGAAAGGCGGCGAAGGGTTAGAAAAGGTGGAGAAGGGTTAGAAAAGGTGGCGAAGGTTTAGGGAAGGTGGCAAAGGGTTTGGGAATGTGGCAAAGGATTAGGGAAGGCGGCAAAGGGTTAGAGAAAGCAGCAAAGGGTTAGAGAAAGAGGTGAAGGGTTAGGGGAAAGCGGCGAAGGGTTGGAGAAGGTGGAGAAAGGTTATGAAAGGCGGCAAAGGGTTAGGAAAGGCGGCGAAGTATAGGAAAGGCAGGGAAGGGTTAGGAAAGGTGGCAAAGGGTTAGGGAAGGCGGCAAAAGGTTAGGGAAGGCTGTGAAGAGTTAAGAAAGGCAGCAAAGGGTTCGAGAAGGCAGCAAGGAAGTAGGGAAGGTGGTGAAGGGTTAGAGAAGATGGCGAAGGGGTAAAAAAGGCAGTGAAGGGGTAAGGAAGACTGCAAAAGGTGAGGGAAAATGGCAAAGGGTTAAGGAAGGCAGCGAAGGGTTAGAGAACGCGACAAAGATTTAGGGAAGGCGGCAGAGAGTTAGGGAAGGCAGTGAAGGATTAGGAAAGGTGGTGAAGGGCTAGGGAAGGTGGTGAAGGGCTAGGAAAGGCAGGGAAGGGTTAGGAAAGGCGGGGAAAGATAAGGGAATGTGGCGAAGGGTTACGGAAGGCAGCAAAGGGTTAGGGAAGGAGGCAAAGGGTTAGGGAATGTGGCGAAGGGTTAGGAAAGGTGGCGAAGGGTTAGGAAAGGTGGCGAAGGGTTAAGAAAGGCAGTGAAGGGCTAGGAAAGGCGGTGAAGGGTTAGGAAAGGCAGGGAAGGGTTAGGAAATGTGGCGAAGGGTTAGGAAATGTGGCGAAGGGTTAGGAAATGTGGCGACAGGTTAGGAAAGGTGGTGAAGAGTTAGGGAAGGCGGTGAAGGGTTAGGGAATGTGGCGAAGAGTTAGGAAAGGCAGTGAAGGGTTAGGAAAGGTGGTGAAGGGTTAGGGAAGGCTGTGAAGGGTTAGAGAAGGCAGTGAAGGGTTAGGAAAGGTGGCGAAGGGTTACGGAAGGTGGTGAATGGTTAGGAAAGGTGACAAAGGGCTAGGGAAGGCAGTGAAGGGTTAGGGAAGGCGGTGAAGAGTTAGGGAAGGTGGTGAAAGGTTAGGAAAGGCGGTGAAGGGTTAGGAAAGGCGGTGAAGGGTTAGGAAAGGCGGTGAAGGGTTAGGGTAGGCAGTGAAGGTATAGAGAATGAGGTGAAGGGTTAGGGAAGGTAGTGAAGAGTTAGGGAAGGCGGCAAAGGGTTAGGGAAGGCGGCGAAGGGATCCGTCTAATTACCCAAAGCTACACAAGCCTCACAAAGCTTCCTGGTATTACTTAAGTAATGAATAAATATGATATATTTACTCATTATAATGTTGGTGCTGAATGTACAATACTAAAAAACATAATTTTAATCTGAAAAAGTATCTTTTTTATATAGAAATTAAACAAAAATAAAGAGCTGGTGATGCCAAATCAAGTCGATGATCCAAACGACAATGTTTTGGAGCGACATATCCAAGACACATTGTTGCCTGGAGAGTGTTTGCTGGCATATCAGCCTCTTGTATACACGTCGCACTTCTCTGCCCAAATTGAAATAATGATATAAACTACAAGAATGCATATTTCCAATAATATTTAGCATAAATAGCCAGAAAACATTTAAATTGTATTAAAAAATAGGTGTCTGGAAGTGAAATTAACTCCATAGGACAATAGTTTTGTTATATAGATGATGATAGTTATTCGCTGGTATGCGTTCGCTACTTGAACTACTATGTACTTATGTACGTATCCAGAGATTAGCTCAGAGTAAAACTATGTTTTTCCAAATTCTACATTACATACCATCATTATAATAGATAAATATGTTGAATATCTTTATTACTTTTTAATGCAAGGAGATTTTGGGGTATGATTGGGTAGCTATGACTGGCTTTGGATAAATACATAAACTAGCTCTGGGTGTGTGTGTAGAGCCCTACACATTAGCCAATCAAAAAATACATTCAATAACATCATTATAGGGGGTAAATATGTCATATTTCTTCATTACTTGTGTAATGTTAGATGACGGGGAAGCATTGGGTAACTATGGATAGCTTTGAGTAAATACATGGACCTGATCTGGGTGTGTGGAGAGCTACACACCAACAAATCAATTGTCTAATTAACATGCATATATATGCTAATTAACCTTCAAGATTTGTCAGAAGAAAGGCAGAGATGTAGTCATTAATGTGACTACATTTTAAGTAATATATATAATTTATATGAATGCCATTATATGGTTAAATAAGTAATACTACATAATCGCCGGTATCCGAGCACATGAACACTACATTCAATGCCATCATTATAGTCGGTATGTCATATTTCTTCAATACTTGTGTACTCCAAGGAGATTTTGGGGTATAATGGGGTAGCTATGACTGGCTTTGGATAATTAGATGGTCTCGCTCTGGGTGTGTGGAGCTGTACGCATCAGCCAATCAATTGTCTAATTATCATGCATTCATATTAAAATTACATTCAATACCATTATTTATAGGGGTAAATATGTCATATTTTTTCATTACTTGTGTAATGCTAGAAGGTTTTGGGGTAGTATTGGGTAGGTTAAATATGAACCTTAATATGTTCTATACCATCAGAAATTCCGAAACATACAATATCTTTTCAAATATTTGTCATTAAAGAATATATTCTGGAAATAATCATTTATTTATTTACGCCAAAATAGGGAGCCGGTCGGCCGAGCGGACAGCACGCTGGACTTGTGATCCTGTGGTCCTGGGTTCGATCCCAGGCGCCGGCGAGAAACATTGGGCAGAGTTTCTTTCACCCTATGCCCCTGTTACCTAGCAGTAAATAGGTACCTGGGTGTTAGTCAGCTGTCACGGGCTGCTTCCTGGGGGTGGAGGCCTGGTCGAGGACCGGGCCGCGGGGACACTAAAAGCCCTGAAATCATCTCAAGATAAACCTCAAGAGCACGAATATCATAGTCTCATCCTGTGAGTAGTAGTTTATTTTGCACCCCATACTCATCCCTTGCAGATTATTCACATTTACTCCTCGCTTGATAAGTTCACGATCTTTTGAGTGCATGAAAAGATGTTTTAGAATTATAGTATTCAAATGGAATTAGTAGCGTATAGCTAGCTCTTAGCAGAACTACTATTTATTTATTTATTGATTTATTTATGCATATACAAGAAGGTACATTGGGAATGTGAGGATACATAATATGGTAATTACAATCTTGTAAAGCCACTAGTACGCGCAGCGTTTCGGGCAGGTCCTTAACCCTTAACATGCTCGGGGTTTAATATCCTGTCATCCCCACAGGCGCATGTCATTTTGAAAAAAAAAAAAAAAAAATTCTTTCTAACCTGTTAATTTGTGTTCACTGATCACGGGAAATATAATAAAAAAATTGTAAGTGGCATATATTGCCCGCTATAGGGCGGGGAAGTCTGGCAAATTATAGGCGCTGACTCAGCGTGCGTCCCAGGCGGTCTGTTGCTCGCAAGCTGTCAGGCCAGAGTTGCCACAAAGAGATAATTACCAAATTATTTCAATGTCTCTGATTGATTTTTCATACTTTTTTTGCTGTAATATTATTCAATAGTGTGTAGTTTGATATATTTATATAATAAAATGAGTGAATCGTTGGTGTACTCAAAAATATGGTGTGCATATTGTTGATTCAATTATGTTCATCAATCAGTGAACAAATACTTTGTCAGTTATTACACTATAAGCACAGGTTATATATAAGTATTTGCATGTTTTGTTCACTATAACGAACCACTAAGTAGCTATTATGAGTCAAAAAGTAATGAGGAGTGACTGCCGTGTACCAGCCAGCCACTCCTGCCCTCCCTCCAGTCATCTGACTCACCCTCATTCTCCTCCCACAATAATGTTTTGCTATAATTCACTATATACAGACGTTATATATAAGTATCTACATGTTTTGTTCACCATAACTGTACATCTAAGCTTGTATGGTGAGTAAAGGCACATAGATGTGGCAACTCACACAGTCAGCTGATCGGCGGCCGCCCTCAAGGCCAGACACACTAATATTTCTTCTCCAACAATACTGTGTGGTGTTATTACGCTATATATCTTATATACAGACGTTACATATAAGTATCTACATGTTTTGTTCACCATAACTGTACATCTAAGCTTGTATGGTGAGTAAAGGCACAAAGATGTGGCTACTCACACAGTCAGCTGATCGGCGGCCGTCCTCAAGGTCAGACGCACTAATATTTTTTTTTTTTTTTTTTTTTTTTTTTTTTTTTTTTTTTTTTTTTGAGATATATACAAGAGTTGTTACATTCTTGTACAGCCACTAGTACGCGTAGCGTTTCGGGCAAGT